AGACAATAAGCTTTTTATGCTCTTTAATTTCTTGCACTCATAACTTTCTTAACTTCTTTCTTTTTTATTTTGTATATTTTCAGTTATTAAGACGTTAAATATCCTTGAATTGCTAAAAAGAGAAATGGAAATGCATTAGTAAAATTCACACTTTTATAAAGTGTCAAAAAAAAAGATAAATTTTAAGTAGAAAAAAAGTGAATTAAAAATTCGCAAGATATTGCAAAAGATTACAAAAATTTTTGTATAAATTAGAGACTCATAAAATTACATTAGTGGTTGGCAACATTAAAATTGATTTTCTATAATAATATTGAAAAAAGAGGAAATTTTGGAAAGTAAATTCCAAGCCTTTTACTAGATAAATTTAAAATGGCAAAAGAATTTTGGACATTTATCTTAATAGTTGAATTGTTCTAAATGTTTTAAAATTAATATGAACTACAAATAAAATTGAAAAACATTACCAAAACTAGTCGATCTCAGGCTTTTTGAAAACGCAAATAAAGTGCTGTTAATCAAAGCAATTTACTTTTAAGATATCAAAAACTATAACACAAAAAACATAATTGAATAAGGACGATTAGGATGTGCGCATTTTCTTCGGCCTTACTTAAAATGAAGAAAACTCTCCAATTAAGAAAGTAATACCTCAAAAACCAGAAGGGAGTAGAAATAAATCGATCTGAATCAAAGTGTATCGTTAACAAAAATGATGAACGAGCAAGATCGAAATACATAGATGAAGGTAAATTTTGTGTTGAAAAGTAAAACCCCAGAGAGGGTATATTAATTGCATAGATTGTAAGTAAGGCGCGTATAATTACTAAGATGGACACTGCTGCTTTCTTATTTCTTTTAGTTATAACATAGCCTTGTTCTAAGGGGCGAAAGCTAGGAAAGAAAGCTTCGTTTTAATCAAAAACGCTTTTGTCCATCTGATTAGTTTCCACATGCATTTTAACATTAAAACAAAAATTCAATTTGAAAATTTTTCTATAATTGTGACAATTTCGATGCGACAGTTTTATAATATTAGTTCGCTCTGTTAAGATAACATTAACAATTTTTTAACACTTTGAACTCTTTTACAATTTTTTTCCACCTTATTTAGATTTATTTTTGACGAGTTTATAATTGAAAATTCTCCATTTTTAACGCAATATGTGTATATGCATTTAAATACACATTCGATGCGAATACTTATATTACGTAAAGGCTATCTTAAAATTTAATTACCTCAATTCTCACACCAATTTTATATCATAAATTCTACTTTAGTTTTGCAAATATACAAGTTCTTACAATCTTGCATTGTATGTTTTATTCGCATTTTAATGCACAATTTTTTGACCAAATAAAAAACTGTTTACATTTTTTTTATTTATGCACATATATACATACATACATATTTATGTGCTTACTAATATTCAACACCTTAACAGTAAATTGCTAATTGATAACTTTTTGGCATTGAAATTCCTAAAATAACAAAAAAGAATATAGGTGCAAGCGAAAAATCTTTAATTAAAAGGAACGCAAAAAAAAAAAAATAAGCAAAACAAAAAAAATACGATATATAAAATCAAATCTTCCACAGTTCCATTGTCTTATCATGTTATTAACAGAAAAGCTATTAGAAGCTAAAGAACTTAACAAGAGTTATAAAACAAATAAATTTTAAGTGCACAAATGTGAATTCTGTTATTTGCCAACACATAAGAAACACAACAGAGTTAAAAAAAACATGGAAGAGGAAAATGTGTTATAAAAATCTTGTTACTTGTATCTATACGAATTAATCAAGAAAAGATCATCCATTACTTTAAAATTTAACATTAGTACCTACCACTTTTGATCAAATTAAAATAAATCGTATATATGAAAATTTAAAACTGATCAGTGGTATTAAAATATGAGAAATAGAAGGGCCAATAATTTTTTTATTTAAAATCATTTTAAAGTAATTTAAGGAAAGGAGGAAGCTACAAGACTTACACAAAATTTATAATTCTTATTATCTCTCTTATTTAGTGTCATTTATATATATAATTCACAGCTATTTTGCCTTGGAGGGAATCAAATAACACTGCTTTCTTACTTCTTTATCAAAATCTAATTAAACTTTAAAATTTTCTATTTTGTAACCATAATTCTATTAATAAATTGTATTCGCTACACGGCAACTCCGTTGAGACTGAAGTTTTAAAAGTTTACACAATATATCGTTTAATCATTAGAAATCTATATCTTTCAAAATAATTCACCCAAAAGTTGAAAATTTCCACTATTTATGCGACTGTATAAGATCTATCGGATAGAAGCACAAATGTAATATAAATCGCCTTCTGATCGATAAGTGCACGCTTCTGTTTTAATAAAATAAGAAAATCAACCACCTAATTCAGTGTCAACATTTAATTACTGAAATCAAAAATTTGGAATCTAATTCTTTCTTCACGAAAATTTGCTGAATATTGGCGAAATTTGTATCTAGTTCACTATTTTTGTTAAATAAAAAATCACACTACGGTTCAAAGTTCTTAGTTTTTCCTCCACAATTTCATTCCAATTCTATACGTCAAACATTTTTTGATATTTTTGTTTCGTTTTTTAAAGAATTTTTTGTCCGTCATGCATGGAATGTAAAATATTTTGCACAATATATTTCTTCCTTCACTTAACCAAAAATAATAATAAAAAAAAATTTACTGAGCTGCTATAAGTGCTCCTGTCCTAAATTTGAATCAATATTATTAGAGATGTTGTGTACATTAGTAACAAATTAACACTCGTTCAAAATCTTTGGATTATATTCTGTTTAATTAAATCGGCTATTCATCTATTCGTATACAGGTTTCTTTTCATTCTTCTTCAATTTAATTTATTTGTTTTTGGTGGATTGCCACTTTACCAGTTGATTCTGTAAAAGAGCAAAAATAAAAATGAAAAATTACGATAAAAAATAAACATCACTTTTATTTGTTAAGATTAATTCACACACCGCTTTTTCTTTAGAATCACTTGATCTATGAGTAACCAAAATTAATTTTACTTGAAATTTTTTTAGTTTTAAATTATAAATGAAAAAGGGTTTTCTAAAAATTGCGTAATGTAAAGAAATATTGAGGAAACTGTGATCGAGAATTTTCTATACTTTAAACATTTAAATTTTATTTCTGTCAGAACAATAAACTACTTCCAACGATTGCATTTGAAATATTTTAATATTCGGTTTTAATTTTCGAATTATTCTAGAATTACCTACCAAATTGTAATTTCTTATATGCTTATCTCCTCGTCCACGCAATTGGCTTTTATGATAAGGGCCCCATTTATGTTGTTATTTGAAATATCACTTTAAAAATTCAAAATTTATGTTAAGTTCCACAATTTTGTCAACTTTCACTTGCTTTTATTCACAAATTAAGCATTTTTTAATTTTTATCATTATTTAAATGCTAAAATATCATAATTTTTTCTTGTTACTCTAGTTAATCTGGGATGGCAAAATATCATGATTTCAATTCGAACCAAATCAGACACCAAAAAGATACCATAAGTCGAATGCGTATTAATTTATTGCACCTAGTCGATTAATATACAATTGCAAGTGCAGCAGAGAATATCAAAAATTTTCTGTTATATGGAAGTGGCGTTACCATGCGTTGGCATCAAATTGACTTTTTGGTCAAAATGTTTTTTTGTTAACTTGGGAAAATATGGGAAAAAGTGTAAAAAATCCGAATCTTGGAAAACTTCACTACCATTGAAAATCTTATTAGTTTTGCACAAAAAATATGACTAAATGAGAAAAAATAGAGCTGACCTTGTCAACTCTGTGATACCCGTACGAACTTGTTATCCTATGTGCGAATAAATATGCCATAAATAACTATGGGACAGACTATGACTTTACACATCGGCCCTACTAATATATTCGCTTGTGTGAAATATCAATATTACAGCTTTTATAGTTTCTGAAATATAGCCAAACAACTTCTGAAGTTGTATGGCAGGCACCAGAACCTGTACCCCGATCATGTCCATGTAGGGGTATAAAAACTTTCATTTTAAAAATAAATTTTCACTTCTGGTAGCGATACTATGAATTTTAACATTGATAACAAGAAACCAATAAAGTTCGCCGCATGAAATTTGGCAGTCATGTGTCTCAGAACAGGTCACATATATATTAAAAATTTTCGTGGAATATCTTGCGAGGTTTAGATAGCTGCTATATGAGCTTGAAATTTAATTGTCACAGTTTAGGTGTAGTGTATTATTCAGTCGGCCTTTGACTTGTTTTATCTAATAATTTATTTCATTGCACTTTTTGATATTTGTCAAAGAAATTCAAACTTTCATACGTAATACAAGAATAGCCCATGCGCTTCTTTCCATAATAAAACCAAAAATCAGTGTTACATTCCATACAAACACACTTGCAAATAAATCCCAAATCAATAAAAAAACAAAAAAAATATTTCATATTAACACAAAACAAGTATGTGTACAAGTACCTCGATGATATAAGAGAGAGGGAGTATAAAAATCTGAGTTAAAAAAGAACAAAAATTAATTGAAAGCCTTCTTATTTCATTTTAGTGTTACTACCATCAGTACTTGTATGTGCACATTTCCGAGCTCATATTATTTGTTTCTTGATTTCAAAAAAAAAAAATTCCAAGTTAAAAGTTTATCATTATCACATTATCTTATATTTTGATGGAACCTTACGTGCATTTTTATGTTGTGCTACCATTATACTTTAAAAATATTTTCGAACGTAATTCACTTGTCTTATCCTTCGGGATTATATTTATATATAAACGAACATTCATATATTTTTGTATGTATACTATGAATTGAGTCAAATAATGTAGAATTAGTTATGGGTTGATCTTTTTTGACCAGGTTAAAAGAGTTAAAAATAAAAAAAGAGTCTACCCATATTAATTAAATTAATTTTTTTTTTCTCAAAATTACTGAACATAAAGGGAGAAGGGGAGAGAAGAAAAGTAACGGAGATGGTAATTTAAAACGAAAACTAAATATAGAAGAAGAAGAAGAAGAAGTAGAAGAAGGTGTGTTAGAAAATGAGGAAGAGGATTTCAGTAGGTTACAATTAACCAACTTTAAGGTGGATTTTACTGAATTTCATTTTTTTTGTTTTCAATTTAACTTGGTAGTTTGATTACAAGTTTGTTAGTATAATTTTCCTATACTATTTTTATATAATTTAGTATTGGGTACTTGTTGTATATTAACATTATTATTATTATTATTAAGGGGAATAATAAGTGAATATAGTTAACTTAAGATTGGAGCTTCTTTAATGTTTAATATACATTATTGTTAAATATTAAAAATTCAATGATGGTGCGCATTGGTGAATGATATTAAAGGTAAAGAATTGCTGCTTGCTAATGGGTTTTTTTCTCATTCTGTCTTTCTATTTGAAATAGTGAAAATTCAAATGTGCAAATATTGATCTAAACTAGAAGATAATAAATTTATTATTGTTTTTTTCTTTAATTTGGTAGTCCCATTATATTCCGAAGTGTTTTTTCGGATTAAAGTTAATTTTATTAAAAAGAAGTCGATGAAAAGTCTATAATAGTTTCTTATAGTGATCTGTGTTATCATTAAGAGAAATCTTTTTGATGATTACTAAGTACCAAGGTATTTTGTAAAGCTTTTAAAATGCAAAAAGAAATTCCCATTTTTTTTTTTTTGCTTGCCTTCCAATATTAATTTTTTTTTTTTTATTTAGATGCGCTCTGTTGTAGTTTTCCCATTTGTTTCTTTACTTTTAAAATTGTGGTATCGACCGACTATATAGTGCTATTGATGAAAATGATATAGGAATATTAATTAATGGTCAGGATGAATAATCAAAATATACAAACACTTACACATTCATTCTATTTGTATTTATTGATTCGGTGGTAAAAGGCTTGTTTTTTCTTTTCTTTTTCATATATTTAAATTAAATTTAGATGAGGTACCATTCCTTGTGTTTTTTTTTCTTATTAACGGTTAAGTAATACTAGTAGTTTTTAGCGGCAAATTTTTATAGATTTTCTATTTAGATTAAATCTAAATAAAATTATATTAAATTTAAGAATAAAGTATGTATAGAAAAAAAAATGGGAAAAAAGTGTATGGATAATCTTCGATGGCGGGCGGTTTTTAAAACATATTTTCGCAACTTAACAAGTTATAATAAGGAGGAGTAAGAAAAATAAAGAAAAAAATCATTAAAACAGAAAAAAAATAATTATTCTTGAAAACTTAAAGATATTTTTCTTCCATAAAAATTTCGAAAATTATTCAATAAAAAACTGAAGCGTTTGCGTTCTGCGTGGTAATTTTGATTTTTGACAATTACAAATTAATAATTATCGCAAAATATGATGATTATAAGGTAATGATTTCCTGTAAGGTTAACCTAAATATTTAAAAATTATGTATGTAATTACAGAATTCAATTCAGAAGAGAGGTGTTTCAACGAATACCATTTCTTGATTGCCAAAAACTTCAAATTATTCTTTGGCAGCTGTTTAAGATGTGTTAGGGTATAAAACTTAATTCGTCTGTTCTTTCGTTAATTCGTCTATGACATATAGACACCAAAACCATTTCTTAGATATAAACAACCACAGGGACATAGAATATAAAATTCACATTAATATTATTGTATACTTATCTGATGAATTCAATATGCATCCAACTGCACAAGTTTTCATCTGAACCTAGAAATTAAAGTATACATATTTGTATATAAGTATGTATATTTGATTTATATCAAATAAAAGAAATTTCAATTAACCTATTGAATATATTGCAATGTCTACCTGTCATTAATATTTCTCCAACGCCGTCAGTCATTCGTTGGTTTCTTCATCCGCATGTCTTCATTGAGCTTTATGTTTTTTTTTTTGTTTTTTATGTGTTGTATAATTTTTTGTCATTTTTGTTCCATCATTTTACAATTTTTAGAAAAAAAAGCACGCAAAACCACACATTTCGCTTTCTTCACTTGTTTACTTTGCATAAACAAAATTTGACACATTGCAGACACACAAATAAATTCGTTTAATTCGGTTTCGGTAAAATGGGTCATGTTACTATTGCCATTACCATAATTTGCCCTTATGGCTTATGATTATTTCAATTTTACTTCTGACGGTTCGAAACACTAAGTCGAAAAATCGCAAGTGCATTATATGCTTTGATTTTGGGGCTATTGTACTAAAATTTAACTCTTTCCGATGTATTAGACATCTTTTTTTTTCTTTAGAAGGCACGTAAAATTGTAACATTAAAAAATATTGCTAGATGTCATTCTAATCATACACCCGATTTGTTCAATTATGTAAAAAATAACTGTGAATTCCAAGAAATTATTTGAATTTTCCTCTTTTGTATTATTTACGAAAAATCAAATTTGCAATGTCTGAACAAAGAACCAAATCAATAGTTTTCTTAAAAAAGGATAAGAACTGATAAAATTGAAAACGACACCTATATGCATTTTCCAAATACACAAAAAAAGAAAGAAAATTCAAGAATATTTTTTTTTTCTTTTTGGTTTTTAAAGTTAATGGTGTTTTAATTTTGCCGCAAAAACATATAAATAATTAAAATAAAAAAAGTTTGGAGGCGAAAGTGGCAGCGGCATCTTCATTCACAATAATATTATTTCAATATAGTTGAAGTGAATTTGAAATTTTAGACAGCTTTAAAGTTTTTATCAGTTTAATTAAATTACTTACGTAGCCGTAACCATAAAAATGTGTTATGTGAAAATTTTTTCTTTACAGATGAATCAATGTAAGAATTTTTGGTATGTAAACGCAGTTTTAAGTCATCATTAATGAATATAGAAAATTTTCGAATCTTGTATATTTGAAATTTTTTAAATTTATTAAAATATTCATTAAAGGTTTTAAAAAAAAATTAAATAATTGTGTTTACAGTATTAAATGGCATTAGAAATTGGCACCAATGCGTAAGCAATGCTAAAAAAATGTATTGTATTTAAATGCTAAAAAATGGAATTGGAATACTATTTGTGTATTTTAGTGAATTCATTAAATTTGTGATAACATTTTAATTACCTTTTAAATTATTAAAATATAAGGAAATCATTTATGGAAAAAAATTACTTATACTTCATTTTAAGACTATGAACTTGAAATATTCATTGATAATGCCTTGATTTTAAAATTCGGGATTAACTGAAGCCTGAAAATTTTGAGTCAAAAACATTATAAGGAATATATTCGTGTGAGTGAGGTTTACTATCCCAATAAAGTTGGACTTTTAAAAAATTCATTTGTGTGTTGCAATGCGCTGGAAAAGACAATTAAAGTATTTTCAATTTTTGACGTTGACACTCAAATCGACATTATAAAAAGTGTTATTAATGTTATTATGATTTTCTTTAAAATCGCCAATTTTCTACACCAAAATTCAATACAAAAAATCCAAAATCGGTGCTATGTCAATTTAAATGTTCACTTACGAATAGTGGCAATATCATGAAAATTTTGGCAAAAACCATTCAGAATTTGTGATTGTTTGATTTCCTTTACGTTTCGAAAACACATTTTCGCAACATCAAAGTTTATGTTTTTTTTTCACAATTGGGAACATTGCTTTTGACTAATTTGCTGATACTAACTTGTGAAATTGTTGATACTAAGCATGTTAGCGGGCCCAGACCTCCCGCGCTTCCGCCTCGGTATAATGTTGAGATTATAAACTAATGAATTAATACAAGCTAACGCAAGAGTGTGCTTATTTTGATAAATTTCTGCATTGTGCGCATTTATTCCTCAAGACTCAAATTATCTTAGCTACCTAGAACTAAATAAATTTTTACTAAAATAATTATTATAATGCCTTGCATCGAGTACAGCAAACGATAATCATCTATTTTATTTTTTACAGCGTTTCAAATTTCATTATAAAATCTATTTTAATTAATTGCTCAATTAATTTTTACATTTTAATTTAAAATTATTTTACTTAACAATAAAGGCCTTAAACTCTAATTTTAATTATTTTTTCTACTTCTAATTTTTCATAAATATTAGTGGATAATAATTGTTGAAACCAATTAAGAATTATTAAAATTTATATAAAATGATTTAATGTAATAGTTTTTTTAAGAAACTACATATTTTAAAACTGAACTTATAAAGCCGAATAACTGCGAACAGCATTTAAAATATTTTTTATTTATAAAACCACCTATTTAATTGAAATTCTTTATTATTCAAGCGCAATGCGAGTATTGCACCTCAACTAAAGTGCAATAAGTAAAAATTAAAAAAAAAATCGGGTGAAAAACTACAACAGAGCGTAAAAGACATAAGTAAACGCTTTTCTCAATTGTAAACAGAGGTAATGTGAGATGAGAAAAAAAGAGAAGCAAAAATGAGAAAAAAAATGAAAAAAAAGATTTATTGATATTAAAAGAGAAAACATTGTTTTTATTTTTGTTTTATTTTTTATTTTGCATAAATACTGGCGTTATCATAAAATTTTATCTTTTCCTTTTCAATTACATGTGTACATCTTTTGGTGTGTAAGCTTTGATAATGTTCTACTGATCATGTATGTACCTGTGCTCTCCTCTCTGAAATAGTATATCTTTTGATTATGTTTGTATGATTATGTGATTTTTGCATAACTATTTTTCAAATGTTTTTTTTTTTGCTTTCACATTTTCCTTTGTTTGTTGCATAAAAATTTTTTATCAGTTTATAGTGTGTGTCTCTGTGTATAGTGCAAAAAATGAAAAATAAAAATAAAGAAAGAAAAAAGATGAAAATAAAAAATGTAAACGTAGAAAAATTGTTGACAAATTTAGTGTTGACTTGTTGATAGCTTCTGATCGTTTAAACAATGATAATACGGATATTTCAACATAAAAACTTCTGCTATAAATATTAGAATAATAAATGATGAAATAAAGTAGATTGATAGTTGATTTTAATGTAAATTAGATTTTATGATTATTTTAGTTTGAGTATTTGAATGGTGTAGCATTTTATTTTTATTTTGGAGTGTTTTAATGAAAAATATTTATTTTTTTTTATC